TGTGTAATATCCGTCAAAATATCCTTTAAGATCTGACAAACTGTTTCTGAACGCCCTTCATTTAATAAAACGATATAAAATCCTGTTTGGCACCCCATTGGTGCAACATTTGCAAAGGTTTTCTCTAAATATTTCCGAAATCCTGCCAACAGGAAGTGCTCTAAGGAATGGAGCTGTGTTGTTGTCATTTTCCCTTGGCTTGGTTGAGCCACTCGAAAATCGTAGACATAAACAGAATCTCCTTTTTCTCCCACGAGGTGGTGAGAAAGTCGGATATAAGGAGCATCCACTTTTCTATGATCAATGTCCCCTCTTGTCTCCAGCGGCCAATCCATCTCTAGTAGGTTTGACATACTCTATCCCTTTAAAAAAACAATAAAAACGTATCGGCAGTGTATAAAATAGTTCCCCATGGGTCAACGTCAAAGCACTTTCCTTATTTTAACGTGTGTGACATAGGTCAAGAAATATAAATAATTATATGCGATGTTTAAATATTCAGAAAAAATTGAACGAAAGAAAATGGAAAGAGTCCCTCGATATACAAGTTACCCAGCGGCCCCTCACTTTACTAAAGATATCGAAACAAAAATATATGAATCTTGGTTGAAAGCGTTAGGGCGAGAGGACACGCTATCTCTATACTTTCATATTCCCTATTGCAAAAAGCTCTGTTGGTTTTGTGGGTGCCACACAAAAGTCATTCATCACTATGAACCAATGCAACGTTATCTAAAATTACTTGAGAAAGAAGTTGGTCTTATTTCTCGTTACACTAAAGGATCTCGTATAAAACACATTCATTTTGGAGGGGGTCTCCAACACTTTTAAAAGCAGATGATTTTTTTGCTTTTATGGAAAGCATAAGTAATTTTTTTACCATAGATTCTCGTGTTGAAATTGCCGTGGAAATGGACCCAAGGACAACAACTCGTGACAAAATTGAGACTTTTGCTCAAACAGGTGTCAGTCGAGCAAGTCTAGGCGTTCAAGATTTTGATGAAAAAGTTCAGACTGCTGTCAACCGCGTGCAGTCTTACGATGTTATTTGCCAGATTGTTAATAATCTTCGATTAAACGGTATACAGGCCTTAAATATTGATCTCATTTATGGGCTCCCTCATCAAACATTAGAAACAACTCAAAATACAGTTGACAAAACACTTTCTTTGAATCCAGATCGGATTTCTTTATTTGGGTACGCTCATGTACCATGGATGAAGCCGCATCAAAGGCATATAAAAGATGCAGATCTTCCTGGTAAAGAAGAGCGTATTGCTTTGTCTACACATGCAAAAAATCTTTTATTAAAAGCGGGATATGTTCCTATTGTTTTGGATCACTTTGCCAAGCAGAATGATCCTCTTTCAAAAGCATTGCAAAACAAAACGTTACAGAGAAATTTTCAGGGTTACACGACGGATACAGTGAACACTTTGATTGGAATGGGAATTTCTTCAATCTCTTCTTTGTCTCAAGGTTATGTTCAAAACACCTCTAGTAACAAAGAGTATTCTCAGCGGGTGCAATCAGGCAAGCTTCCTATTTTTCGAGGATATATTTTAAGCTCTGGAGACAAAGAACGGCGGGAAATTATCATGTCGTTAATGTGTTATCTATCTACAAGGGTAGATCCCCTAAAGTATTCTGATGAAATAAATCTTTTGAAACCCTATAGAGAATCAGGAGACGTTTTCTATCAAGATGAAATCTTGACAATTTCCCCAAAGGCACGAAAGAGTTTAAGAATAATCACTTCAGTCTTTGACGCATATTTATCAAGCACAGCACACCTTTATTCAAAAGCGATTTAAACTATTTTTATGATATATGCTTGAGCGCTAGTTTTTATAGTGCTGTGCAAAAATTATGAAGGACTGCTCCGTGAGATCCCCTTGATAAAATATCCTTGATTACGGAGAAAAAGGTCAGAGACTAAGACTTGGAAGTTTTTGCAAAGCTTTTCAATTCCTTTTGAACACGTGTGATTAGCTCTTCCCAATTGCCTTCCTCTTTCTGGCGGAATAGTTTCATCGAAGGGTACCAGGGACTTGATGTCCCTTTCGTCATCCAACGCCATTCAGCAACTTTTGGAAGAAGTGTCCAAGTTGTTTTGCCAAGTGCTCCTGCTAAGTGTGTAACTGAAGTATCAATTGAAATGACGAGGTCCAAATTTTCGATGAGAATTGCGGTGGAGAGAAAATCTGTCGTAAGTGGAGATAAGTCAATAATCTTCTCTACAAAAGACGGCTTGTAAATATCTAAGGCATTTGGGCCATGTTGCAGGCTGTAAAATTGTGTGTTGGGAATATCCATTAAGGGTTTAAAGAGGTCAAGTTCTATTGCGCGCATTCTAGCCATTTTATTGGTGAGGCTACATTCCCAGACAAGTCCTACACGCCATTTTTTCTTGTGATTTTCCAAAAGTTGAATGGGTTGTTTTGGCTCTGGTGCTGCAATGTAGGGAACATTTTTCGGAATACTTTTAAGAGTTGTTTTAAATACATGTGGTAAACTTAAAAGCGGAATATGGATATCGAAGTTTGGGAGTTTTTGCCCACGTATGACGACATTTGTCACACCTTCTATTCTTTGGAAGACACGGGCTAATTCTGGGCGGCATTCTACAATAATTTGTTTGACGTGTTTAGCCGCTTTAGGAATATAGCGTGCAAATTGAATTGCATCCCCAAAACCCTGTTCACAGTAAATAAATAGTGTGCTTCCTTCTAGTTTTTGGCCATCCCATAAGGGTTGAGGAAATTGGCGTCTTGCTCCTTGTGCTTCTCGCATTCCCCAGCGATATTCGTAATGAGGCCATGCTTTTTCTAGCTCCCCTAAAGAGAGGTGACAAACAGCTTTATTAAAGTGTGCATCCGCATTGTCGGGAGAAAGTTTTAACGCTTTTTCTAGCTGTTTTAAGGCCTCTTTGATCTTGTCTTGCCGTCGTAGAGCAATGCTTAAGTTTAGATGAGCAGAAAAGTGATTTGGGGCGAGTTTGATGGACTTTTTAAGATATTTTTCTGCTTCTTTAAATATGCCTTGACGTTGATAAGCATTACCTAAATTTGATAGGGCTCCTGGATGTTTCGGGTCAATATCAATGGCTTTTTTTAACAAGGCGACAGCCGTTTCAAATTGATGGTGGCTGCTAAAAAGTGCTCCCATATTGGAATAGACGCTGGCATTGTCAGGAGAAAGTTCCAAAAGGCGTTGATAAAGCCAAAGAGAATAGGTCCATTTGCCTTGCCTTTGAGACTGTAGAGCCAAATCAAATAAACTCTTATTCATAACCGTTGCTTTTGTTTCCCTTTGTGACTTAGAAGGGGTATTTTTTTTCTTTTGTGCCTTTTTTGCCATTGATTTTTTCCTCCCGTTTATCACACCATAATAGTTGAATTTTGCACAAATAAAAATAGGGACCTTTCAAGTGCGCTTTTTCACCTATTGTTTTGTTTTTATTGTTCTGGGATTTCCTACGTGGGGACTAAAATTCAGCCTTCCAATTGATTGTGGAAAAGGGAAAATGTCCTCTTTTAATTCAAAATTACGTTGATACGGGGTGCAAAGAAGCGTCTTATAAAGGTCATCAAGGAACAGATTTTCGTTTAATTTATTTTTCCGATACCGTTTTTCATGGGGGGGTTAACGTTCTTGCTTCTGCCCCTGGAAGAGTTATAGGGATACGAAATGATATGGAAGATCGTTTGCCTCCTTTGGACCCTAACTATATTTCAAGACGGGACTGCGGCAATGGGGTACGCATTGATCATGGTCAAGGATGGGTGACACAGGTTTGCCACCTGTTGAAGGGCTCTGTGCCTGTTAGGCCTGGCGATATTGTTCGACAGGGCCATGTTCTTGGAAAAGTTGGCTATTCTGGTCGTGCAGAGTTCCTCCATGTGCATCTGCAAATTGAAAAAGATGGGAAAGTAATGAGCCCTTTTTGGGGGTTTCCAGTTGGGGAATTTCGCTGTAATGCAGAGTCTGTTCCATTGTGGGGAGAGACGGCTCTTAAAGAAATAAACTTTAATGCTGAAAGCATTTTTCTTTCAGTGGGAGCGTCTAATGGTCGTCCTGATTATTCCAGGGTTAAAAATGGTGATTACAAAGATGTCGCCCTTAGCACCAACAGCCCTGCATTTGTTGTTTGGGTATTTACAATGAATCGAAAAAAAGGGGATCAGGATCGCATTATGGTTTTAGACCCTGAAGGAGAGGTTTTTGTAGATTCAACTTCAAAACCATTAGGGCGTTATAAAGCCAATTATTTTTCTTTTACAGGGAGACCTCGCAAAAGTACTTCATGGCCTGTTGGCGAGTATACGGTTCGTTGGGAAGGGTTGCGCGAAGGAGAAGTTTTTGAAACAAAAACGTTTGTGGTTCGTGTTCAATGATGCTCCGTTTGTCACTATAGTATTTTAAGCTTCTGGCTAAACATCTAAGTCTGAAGCAAAAGCAGCATTTTCCTGAATGAATGCAAAACGCTTTTCTGGGGATTTTCCCATCAAATCATCCACGAGTTGTGTTGGTGTGACGGTGGATAGATCTTCTGTCGGGACAGCAAGTGAAACGCGTAAAAGAATGCGCTTTGTTGGATCCATTGTGGTTTCTTTCAGCTGTTTCCATGACATTTCTCCCAAGCCTTTAAAGCGAGAAATATCAACATTTTCAGAGCCTTTAAATTCTTTCTGTAGAATTTGATCTTTATGCTCATCATTGCGTGCATAAAAAGATTTTGTTCCTTTAGAGAGACGATAAAGAGGAGGTTGAGCAAGGTAGAGATGACCGTGTTCGATTAAGGAGCGCATTTCTTGGAAAAAGTATGTGATCAAGAGGGCTGCAATGTGCGCGCCGTCTACATCGGCATCTGTCATGATAATCACACGTCCATAACGAAGTTTTGAAAGATCGCAGTCCTTACGGGTTCCACATCCCAAAGCTTGATCCATATCGGAAAGGCCTTGGTTGTTTAAGCGTTTGTCTATACTGGCGCTTGCTACGTTCAAAATTTTTCCACGAAGAGGGAGAATCGCTTGCGTGACACGATCTCGTGCCTGTTTTGCAGATCCTCCCGCGGAATCCCCTTCCACAAGGAAAATTTCACTGAGTTCTGTTTTCGTTGTGGAACAGTCTGCAAGTTTTCCAGGGAGTCTCAGGCGCCTTGTGGCACTTTGACGTTGGGTTTCTTTTGTGCGTTTTCGGCTAAGACGTTCCTCCGCTCGTTCAACAACATAGTCTAGCAAGGCTTCTGCTTGAGGTTTATGGGCTGTTAACCAGTGTTCAAAATGGTCTTTGACAATGGTTTCAACCGGCTTGGAAACACCATGAGAAACGAGCTTTTCTTTGGTTTGTCCCTGGAAGGTGGGGTCTTGAACGAATACAGAGAGAAGCCCAGCAGCATCGCCTAAGATGTCGTCGGCTGTCAGGAGAGGGAGCTTTTTACGTCCTGCCATTTCTGCGTAGGACTTTAGCCCTTTAAGTAGCGCTGCTCGAAAGCCTGTTTCATGGGAGCCACCGAGAGGTGTTGGAACCGTATTACAATAGGTATGGAGAAAGCTTTGTCCTGAAGACAAAGGCCAAGTCATCGCCCATTCAACCCATCCAACCGAGTCGATAAAATCTGCGCGCCCGGAAAAAGAAGATTGTGTCACCGTTTCGGCATCTTTGGTGACTTCTGTTAGGAAGTCATTAAGACCTCCAGGAAAGTGAATGGTTTCTTTTGTCGGCGTTGCTTCTCCCTCATTTAAAAGGCTTTCAGGGCAAGCCCAGAGAATTTCAACTCCTCTAAAGAGGTATGCTTTTGAACGGACGAGTTTATAAAGGGTTGCGGGTTGAAAGTGGTGATGTCCAAAAATTTCTGGATCTGGGTGAAAACGGATTCGTGTTCCCCGACGATTTGCGATTTGTCCCACTTTTTCGAGTTTTGTTTGAGGCACCCCACGGGCATAAATTTGGCGCCACAATGTTTGAGATCGTGCCACTTCGACTTCTAAATGGTCTGATAAAGCCGTAACAACCGAAAGCCCGACACCGTGGAGTCCCCCAGAGGTTTGGTAAGCCTTATTTGAAAACTTACCGCCAGAGTGAAGCGTTGTCAGAATGACTTCTAAGGCGGATTTTCCAGGAAATTTAGGATGTGGATCTGTGGGAATGCCGCGCCCGTTATCCTGGATCATTAAACAGCCTTCTTCATCCAAAGCAACGGTGATGCGGCTGGCGTGTCCGGCAACGGCTTCGT